AATGTGGATTTTGACTTGCAAATTATTTAGTAATACGGTTCGATATAACTATACCTTAGACCTTATACAAATGGTCTCATAGTTCCTTTCTCTTCCCTTTAGTAATTAAAAGCATCCAAGCAACAGCCAGGTTGATTGAAAGACGAAATCTTTCTCCTGAAATTCTATTTTAATTAACAGGCATTTTCTACTATTACACTTGTGTAAGACACGCAGTTGCAAAAATTTGTTTTCCTGATACTTAAGGAAAACCCCTTTTAGCAAAAACACTAATAAAATAAGTGATACACAAAACAAGAGCCACTACCTTTAAGAATATATGAACATACAATATAATGTTTTCATGTCATTCTTTTTAGTGGAATATAAAAATTGAGGGCTATTTGCTCTATCTACACGCGAGAGCTAAAGAGGCTTTTGCAAATTGTGAGGTGTAGATAAAGTTGGAATATTCTAAAATATTAGAGAGTTTCCGAACATTTGTAGAGTGAAATATATTTTACAAGGGTAGAAAGAAATAGGGATTATTACAGAAAGATGGAATTATGGACTCATATTTTAGAAGAGTAAGCTTTGTAGAGATGTAGATATTTAAGTGAAGAGTTGCAGAAGATCTTGACTATTTATTGTAATCATTAAGATGGAGGATGGTCTATATATAGCGGGAGTGCCATTTTAAAAATTCTAAGAGTGAAAGTGAACCATTAATGGTGTGCTTTCACACTGGAAAGTGGAAGGTCTCCATTCGCTAAGAATGAAAGACAAAAATAAACCTCTCAATAACTCCCTTCAGAAAATCGTAAATGAAACAGTAAATGACTACATATGTTTCTGCTATCCTTTACCCTTTTAAAAACCATTCCCACAATATCAGCAGAAACTTCCACATTATTCACATAAATAATAGTTTCATTTACCTATAAATAGAAAAGGAAACGTAATAAAAAATTTAGTTCCCGCCTATTTTTTTTAACATTAAAATAATATTTATGTCCCTCAACTCATATTCAGAATTGAATATGAAAGGTAAAAAATCCTGAGTAGCATTATCGTTAGTGTTCGTTTTAAATTGCATCCCATGCATATAAATCCCTTGCTAGTCTTCTTAGTTAGAATTTTTGTTCTAAATAAAATTGTACTTTCCCTATTTAAATATCTCTTTGTAGACAAAAGAAACTCTACAAGACTGCAAATCTAGCTTGTGTCAATAGAATTCTCATGTATCGCAATAAATAGTAATAAGATATAACCAAATTGAATAGGATGAGAGAAAATAGATTGAATCGATTTATATAGTAGAGTAATTATTCATGTTCCTGTATCTTCAAGATTTGAAGAATTAAACAGGCCCAAATCCAACTCCTTATTTAATTAATACGTAACACAATATTGGACTGGTCTCTGGCCTTTTAAGGTCCAAAACAGAATATTGGGCCCACGGCCCATGTTGTTGTACACGTGCCCTTCATCGATTTAAAACAACGAAAAGTGTGACGGCATCCATCATGTTTCAGCTACCCACCAACCCCTTTTACTACCAAATGCCTTAAAATGCTGATTTGTCCTAGTGTCCCAATAACTACCCATCCCATTCACCTGTAATTATTGGGTATTTATCAGCCTTCATATTTTATATTTCAAGGATGTATCGGGACTGGTTTCATCGATTTATATTGATATTTGCTCGAATTTATTATATTACGATCACATATAATACCGCGAATGCGAATCATAATTGCAAGTGTCCTCAATCTAGGGAAAAAAAAAAAAAAAAAATTTCAATGTCAAAATCCATTTATGAGCAAAATTTATTAATAGCAAGTTTCATATGAATCTCTTATGATGCGTTTGGTGTGCATGAATGAAATAAAATGCAAATGAGAATAGAATGTATTGACCATTCTCATTCAATTGTTTGGTTGTAAATATGAATGTGTAGAAATGGAATGATAATAACTATTCTAGTGTTTGGTTGGACCAATTTAAAATTGAATAAATTTCAAATTGAGTCGTATAAAATATCCCTTTTAGTAACAAATAAATTAAATTAACAAAATTGCATTCTTTTATAATTTTAAAAAAATAAATGGTGGCAGTGGCGGTGGTGGATGGTGGTGAGGTGCAAAGCGGTAATGGTGTGGGCAATAGTGTTGGAAGGTGGCGACGATGTTGGTCGAAGGTGGCGGCAGTTTTAGTGGAAGGCGGTGACAGTGGTGTGGTGGTGGTGGTGGAAGGAGATTGTAGTGTAGGTGGCGGCGGTGGTGTTGGTGGAAGGCGGTGGCAGTAGTATGGTGGTGGTGGTGAAAGGAGATTGTGGTGTAAGTGGCGGTGGTGGTGGTGGAAGCTAATGGAGGTGATCGTGGTGGTTGTGGAAGGCAGTGGAGTTAGCGGCGGCGGTGGTGGAAGGTGGTGACGGTAGTGGTGGAAGGCAGTGGTTGTGGCACTGTTGGAAGGTGGTGGAAGGTAGTGGCGCTGGTGGTGGTGGAAGGTGGTGTCGGCGGCGGCAGTGGTGGTAGAAGGTGGTGGCGATGGGAAGGTGGTAGTGGTGGTGGTGAAAGGTGACGGTAGTGGTGGTAGTGAAAGGCAGCGGTGGCGGTGGTGGTAGTGGTGGTGGCGGTAGAGGCGGTAGAAGGCGGTAGCGGTGGGGAAAGGCGGTGGCGGGGAAAGGTAGTGGTAGTGAAAGATGGTGGCAGCGGTGGTGGTGGATGGTGGTGGCTGTGGTAAAAGATGGTGGTGGTGGTGAAAGGCAATGGCGATGACCGTAGTGGTGGTGGTTACGGCAAAGGAAGACGGTGTTGGTGGTGAAAGACGGTGGCGGCAGTGGTGGTGAAAATTGGTGAATGTCGGTGGTGGTGGAAGGCGGTGGTGGTAGTGAAAGGTGGCCGGAAAGTTGATTTTTAATTTTTTTTTTATTAGGAATGGAATGGGCATTCCATACGTTTTGTTGTGGAAATGATTTTCGTTCCAATGAAAGGATTTTCATTCCATGGTTATTCCACTTTAAATTGCATACTAGACAAAGGAATGGTTGAAATGGCTACTCTATTCTATTCCATTCTTACGCACTAAACGTAGCAATATTGTTAAGAACATATGAAATCCAGTCTTAGTGATGTCAGCATAGAAATGAAGAATTTTAGAAATTGCAGGAAAGGTAATTTCTAAATGTGAGATTTCCTTTTGCAATTGATACGATGACATCCGCAAGAGAAGAAGAAATTAGAGAATATCACCCTTAGAACTATTGCAAGATGATGAGAGTTTTTTGGGAGACTCTGAAGGGGAAGAACACTTGGTCCAGCAGTTTAATTGTAGAAACTGATGAGGGTTTTTTATATTGTTGTGTTAGTTGAACAGTTGTTAAAACAGGAAATTTTTATAAGAACTCGATAAGGTATACGCACGTTATATACGAAATATGGGACAATATTTTTCCTTTCCTCAGATAAGATTTCTTTAGGTATATGAGAGCATTTGGCAATGCATATAATATTCAATCAGTGATAATTAATTTTAAAGCTCTTGTAGCAGTGATTGAGGTTAAGGTAAAATTAAAATTTTTTGTCTGAAACAGTGTTGCCGTGTGATTGAAGGTTAGATTATTTTCCACTTGTGTAAAGATTTATTGACTGAACCAGTAGGGAGATGTGATTTAGTTCAAGTTGAAGGCAATAAAAGAAAATGGTGGGTTTAGATAGAATGTTGGTAAAGGAAATAGGGAAGGAACAACCGCATGTCGTTTATCATGGGATATGACACTAATTAGAGTTTAATGATAATAAGAAGTTTGCATAGGGCACATCATCATGCAACAACAACTTGATAATAATAATAATCATAATAATAATAGTAGTAGTTTGCAACTGCTATGATTAATTTTGCTGGATCTTAGGTTATTGTTGGTTTACTTAATATGTTGGAACTTTGGAATTTTACGATGCCCATAATGAAAAATCTAGAAGGGTCTTGAGACCTGGAGAAGGTGATCAGACAAATCTGGCGTGTAACCAAGATTATTGAGTTTTTTGGGACTAGTACTCTTATTTGGAGAGGAGAGCTCATACCGTCGTGCTAATGGCTTGGTATAATCATTATTACTGTTATTATTATTATTATTATTATTATTTTCTTTTCAATTAGTTACCCAATGAATGCCTTGTGTTTTTTTTTTTTTTCTTTGGCAAGAAGCGCAGGCACCCATTTTAGCTCTTATGAAGACTTGAACTCCACCTTTTTGAGAGTTATATCCGTAGAGGTGATACTACTAGCCTTGCTACAGCGCCCTTAGTAATGAATGCCTTGTTTGCAATCTTGGAATAGATGCTTGATTAGTCATGTGGTAGTGTTTTCCTGTCACCACCACCATTGAAGCAACATAAGAAGGCTATTGGCAATGCTGGTTAGTTGCTTTCATAGCTGTCGATAAGATTTTACTTCATAGTTTTTTGGTTTGGCTGGTGAAAAAAAGAGAGAAAGGGAGAGAGGGATTTTATTATTTTCTAGTTTAAAATAAAAATTGAATAAAATATATAAATTAATAATGTCTCCTTGGTTTTCCTTTATATTTTCTTGCCTTCAATTCTCAACGCTGGGAGCATAGCAACAAAATAGAATGTTTAACAGTCTTGGTATGTCTTGAAATAAATAATTAATGTATAAATGTGATGAGAGGTATCTCCTCTCCTTTTAGAGGATTGAGTCTTCTCAAAGGCATTGTAGGACCATTCAAAAAAATAAAATAAAATTGCACATGATTTTGTAACAATGTGAACTTAACATATAACAATGTCGTCGGTCTCAAACAAATCTGAGTTACATGAACTCAACGTATGACAATGTCTCAAACAAATAGAGTTAGGGTCACAATGTGGCAAAGAAAAATAAGTCAACAATGGCGATATATAGAGGAGTTTGTGACAAGATAAAGATTGCTTCTATTTTGAAGGTGTGGTGTTGGAGAGATTAACAGAAAAACAAAATTAAGAAATAAAGAAAAAACATCAAACATGGGTTCCCTGAGGATTCCTCTTTTCATCGTCTCCAATGGCAGTGGCATAAACACAGTAAGCAACTGAAAACAGTCCATGAAGGAAGCACAAAATCCCTCCTTTGGATAGAACACGATGGTGTGATAGCCCACATGATTTTCTTGATCTTGAGTTCTCTAATGTCCCACCCAGCATCGATAATCCAACGGCTAGTATAATCCTAATGAATCGAACGAATTCAGATGAAATCTTATGACATGCTCAAAATTTGAAGCAATTAAGACAATGTTACCATAAAACTCACAAATGAATCCAAAATATAGTAAATGAAACAGTAAATTACCATGAGAAAAATAGGCAACCAATGGACTGGCTTAGCAGTGTTGGCCTCTTACTTTTCAAAGGGAGGTCAAGGTTCAAGTCTCAAAAGAGATATATGTGTGTGAGTATCAACTAAGAAAAAAAAAAAAAAATAGTGAGGCCACAGCTAGTTGCTTGTTGGGAGATGCTTTATTCAGTTCATCCTTGGACCAAATGCAAATGCAGCCACCAAACAAGTTGGCATTGGCGTGCGCGAGGGCAAGAAGTACTGCAGCAGCTAACCCAAGCTTGAAAGCCTGATGGCTCGAATCTTTACACTCGAATATCCACAGCCTTAGATGTTTCACCTGTGCCACAAGAACCAAAAATTACCAGCAGCAACAAAATTCTTGTTTCCCATTCTGTTATGCAAAAGTTTTTTGGACGCGTACGTTGTTCTGCGCTACCTCAGCTTCAATGCCAAGTACACCTGCCACGACATCCAATACGATGATCAAGAGACAAATGAGAAGGCCTATCTGTTTTGCCATTTTAGCAGATTGAGAGCTCTGAAAGAGATGTTTGAGGAGGAGATGTTTGGAGAAGTCTTATATAAGGAACGTCTCTCTTTATTAGCATAGGCCTTTAACTTGAGTCCTGCATGAGGAGAGAATCTGAATAAAGTAGAAGTGTGTATGTAGACTAATACCATATCTGAACAAGATTAGCTGTGGTAATGGAGGGAAAGGCTTCTTTTGTATTGAAAAAAATTCCTTTATTCTGCTTTTGCTTCTGCTTCTGCTTTGCTTTTGGATTAGGATTCCTTTCATGGGGGAGAAGGAAAGCAGGGGATCACCGGCAAGGGACGGAATTGATTGGATGGCTATTGGCGAGGATGCATGGACAGCTCAGGGTTTGAAATATTCCCCCAAACACGCATTTAAAAATTCCAGTTTGCTGATGTATCTTCTGCTGATTTACAGTTATAAAGGAGGCTCTAGTTCTAGGGCTTGAACCCATGGCCATGTTGCCTGGCCCGCCCGGGTATGCGTGTGTGTATTTATGTTTATATTTCTAAAGTTTAAGCAAATGCGCTCACTTATTATATTTTGTACGTATCTACCATGCTCAAATACTAAACCTCCCATTCGGAAAGGACAACTTAATAACAAATGGGCGCACAATACACACCTACTATATATATTCAGTTAAGGTAACTACGCTAAGAACATCTGAGTTAGAAAATGAAAACTATCTATGGTCATGTTTTACAAACACAAAAGGTTCCATACATGATAAATTCCAGCTAGCCTCATTTTACTGACTGCTGCTGAGACAAATTGTCACACTGTTTCCCAAATCCTCAATGATAAAAGTTGGGGCAGTAACTTGGATTCCCTTTTTTTAGCGACATGACAATTCAATATTGGACAATCCCAAAACAAATCATTGGCTGAGTTTGAGAGTACCAAATTACCAATGGCATTTTGGAAATAAAATTAAAAGAAAAAAAGAAAAAAAGAAAAACAACAATTAAGACTTGATACAATGTTTCTAAACATAGCATTTCATGTGGAATTTGAACCACAATAGTACAAATTTTAAACTAACTTTTTTCTTATCCCAAATTCAAAGCACCATACTCCCAAACCCAACGTCAACAAATTTATAGATTCTCATGCTATTGCTTAGATTAAGAATCTTTTAATAGAGAATTGGTATAACCCTTTTTTTGTCACTATTTTTCCATCCCCTTTTCTGTTCTGTTGCCTGAATTTATACAAGAACCGAACTTGATTTCACACAACTAATTGAGTCATGTTTATCTTAATATGATTATTTGCTGATTCTATGATATTTTCATCTATCATTGAATTAATTTGGTGGAACGATCGACTTCCTTAGCAGCTAGCCACGTGTGTCCTTCAATCTCACATTACTATGAGCACGTATTTTTCTGTGGTTCGTTAATGCCTTGTACAAGTGTCGCGTTTTTACTAGTGAAAATTTTTCCTCCGCACTAGTTTGATATTTCTTGAAATAAATATATAATGTCAAATAACAATGTGTTGGAATGGAATAAGTTTGAGAATTTCACTGTTCAAGGAGCATCCTTCCGGTCATATGTGAATCTCCAATTGGTATGAATGTCCTTTTCACATGCAGAAAAAAAATGATTAAATAAAAGATTTTTGCCGCAAAATTTTTGCAAGAGATTATAAGGCTTTCACTTCAAAAGCCTTATACCATGAAACTCCAAATCCACAAATTAAATGCGGTAAAAGCCTGTAAAATATTTTTTTATTTTTCAGTGTTTGATTGTCGTAAAATATTTAGGAGAAAAAAAATATATTACAATCTAACAAAAAAAAAATTTATCTATCAATTTTTGACAAGTTATTTTACACGCTCTATTCAATGGGCCCTACTTCAACCTCGACCTAGCCAAATATATAAAAAGCAAAAATAAAGAAAATATTTTACCTAAAAAAAAAAATCTTTTTTAAAAAAATATTTTACGTCAAAACAAAAACATCTTAATTTGTTGATTCGGAAGCTTCAAAAGCCTATTTTCCTGATGCTTAACAAATCAAAATGTTTGACACCGGATCTCATTACAATGTGGCAAGAATAAGAAGATAATAACCAACATGCCAGTGACTTAGCGGTATCAAGTCTCTATTTTTCAAAGGAATGTCAGTGATTTGAGTGGTGTGTAAGTATCAACTACGAAAAAAAAAAAAAAAAAAAGGTTCATGATTACTTATATATCATGAAGTTGTGGAGCTTAGAGAAATTAACAGAAAAACAAAATTAAAAGAAAAAAAAAAAATTACCAATGGCGTTTTGGAATTAAAATTGAAAATTTATATATATAGTCAGCCTAATTTATTATTATGATTCCTACTATTCAAACTCCTAAAATGCTTTTTCAAAAATTTATTATTATTATTTTTTGTTAATATTTTCCGTACGGACAATTTCGGCATCTAGGGAGGGGGTTTGGGTAGCATCCTCGGAATGGATCTTGAAACACAAACATGTAAGATTTTACGTTTCAATGAACAGAGGTATCTATTTACTTCAATTCTAATAGCATCATTTCGCAGTAATACCCTGCTTTAAACATTTTATTTCAAATATCAAGGTAAAATTATAACATGTTTTTTTTATAAAAAAAAAAAAAAAAAATTCACACAATTAACTAAAGATACACCCGTTGACATTTCACATTACGGGTGATTTTGGTTGGTGATTTCAAAACATGTTATTATTGATTAATTTTGCTTAATTAGTTTTAATGACCACTAAACAAAATAATTTTAATCATATATACCCGACGCCAGGCAGGCAACATGCGTGTGCTAAAGAGGCATCGGCTTAATTAGAGAGTGGTAGAAGTTTTAGAATCTCACCGAGTTGTAGAGTATTGTGGAGAGGGTTCAAAGATTCTAGATTTGGTGAAAATTTAGATATTTGTAGAAATTAGAATATTCTTGTAGATTTGTAAACTCAAAAGCCTATAAATAGGTGATGGAGTCAAACTGTTTTGCAGGATATGGTCTGAACCATAATTGAGGGTGCCCTTTACATATATAAGAATTTTTTAGCAACTTGAAAAAATGCAACAACCTACTTCAAACCATCCCAATCCCAAGCATGGCACTTCGTTGCAAAGCTTTATGTGGTATTAATTTATCGATTTCATATTTTTATGTTTCATTTTGTGCGGATGTGTAAATGGATTCGAATCTGAGTATTAGATTTCTGATTTTTCGTATCTTTGTGTTAATGTTTGTATGCATATTAATCAGCAAAATAGATCTCTTCAGCCTATATGTATGAGCCCGCTCTTTATATTTGTAAAACTGATTTTAACTATGATGAAGCAGATTTATTTCAATATAAGATCTAACTAGTTTTCTCTACTCTTTTCTTATTCCATTTTGTCTCTTCTTGAATTAATTTTGAAATGTTTTATATTTTAGTTACAATCTTAAACTGCAAACGGGGTTTATAATTTCTTAAGAAATCATGAAAGAGGTGTGATTAAGATTGAGTGATTAACTAGGTATATCAAACTAGAGGAGAAAAGAACACATGGACGGGATATTTGTATTGAACGTACAATATGAATAACTACTTGTTTTAAAATTAAATTTGTTTTTTTAAGAATTACAAATTATTTGATTCATGTGGTTGTCCAAGAAAATTGGTCGGTATAATGGCTTTTCTGCTGGAGATTTTTAACATATTTGGTCCATGTCTTAAGCAGAGTCACTTCCTGGTTTAATTAATACCCTTTCCCACTATCATCATCATCAATTAATTAAATGTTTCTATGTGAATTTCCAATTGGTATGAATGTCCTTTTCAAAAATGATTATTTTTGAAAGAGATTATAAGGCTTTTACTTCAAAAGCCTAATAACATGAAGCTCCAAATTAACAAATTAAATGCAGCAAAAGCCTGTAAAAAATTTTGCATTTGTTTAGATGTAAAATATTTTTTTATTTTTTCGTGTTTGGTTGTTGTAAAATATTTACGAGAAAAAAAAATTACAATCTAAAAAAAAAAAATTTACCCATCAATTTTTGGTAAGTTATTTTACACGCCCTATCTGAAAATAAAAAAATATTTTATCTGAAAAAGAAGAAAAAATTTAAAAAAAATATTTTACGTCAAAACAAGCATAGCTTAATTTGTTGATTCGGAAGCTTCAAAAGCCTATTTTCGTGATGCTTAACAAATCACAATGTGTCAAACAAATTGACTTACGGATCTCATTACAATGTGACAAGAATAAGAAGACAACAACCAACATGCCAATGACCTAACGGTATCAGGTCCTTACTTTTCAAAGGGATGTCAGTGGTTCACAACAATGGTGACAAGTTAGAGATTACTTATATCATGAAGTTTTGGAGCTTAGAGAAATTAACAGAAAAACAAAATTAAAAAAATAAATAAATTACCAATGGCGTTTTGGAATTAAAATTGTAAATTTATATATATAGTCAGCCTGATTTATTATTGTTATTCCTACTATTCAAACTCCTAAAATGTTTTTTCAAAAAATTATTATTATTATTTTTTGTTACTATTTTCCATACGGACATTTTCGGCATCTAGGGAGGGGGGGTTTGGGTAACATTCCTGGTATGGATCTTTAAACACAAACATGTAAGATTTTACCTTTCAATGAACACAAGTATCTATTTACTTCCTTTCAATGAACACAAGTATCTATTTACTTCAATTCTAATAGCATCATTTCGCAGTAATACCCCCTGCTTTAAACATTTTATTTCAATTATCAAGGTAAAACTATAACATGTTTTTGAAAAAAAAAAATTCACACAATTAACTAAAGATACACCCATTGACATTTCACATTACGGGTGATTTTGGTTGCTGGTGAGTTCAAAACATGTTATTATTGATTTATTTTGCTTAATTCGGTTTTGATGACCACTCAACAAAATAATTTTAATCATACCCGACGCTGGCAACATATGTGTGCTAAAGAGACATCTGCATGGAATGAGAA